TTCGGATCATGGGGTTTTGTTGACTTAAGCATATCTTTATCTGCATTATTGGTTGACTTCCATGAAATTATTTAAGAATTTGGAAGACACCATAAGTGAGTTCTCCATTTCTAAAGAGCAAATGAGAGCCAAGGAATCCATCTCTAAGATTTGGTGGCTACAGAGAGAATGTACCTGCATTGACCAATAACATGCTTGGAACTCTAATGGTCCGAAACATATTCTACCTGAATTATGGTTTTAGGCCTGTTGTTATTGGGACATTTGCACTGTATTGCTGACCCATTTGGCTCTATAATTGAGTTAGAAGGACTGTGGAACATGGCCCCCCATTCAAATGTGGGAATACTGTTAATTCCATCAGAACTAAGATTATTGAGTTCAAAAGACAATGCATTGGGTTGTTGGAGATTATTGGAATTGTGAGAACATTGAACCTTTGTTTATTTTTATTTTTATTTTCCCTTTTCTACTAGGTCTATGGCCTAAAAAGGTGAGAGAGGCCCACAAGAAGGATTTCATTGATATGGAACCAGAAAGTGAGCCATGAGAGAGATCTAGGTGGAGTGACCACGTAGTGATGGGTAGGGAGGAATAGTAGGAGTGGACTCACACAGAATGATTATCTTGAAAATCCTTTTTGAGGGGTGTGTTGTAGCAATCCCATCCTTATTCAATGGACCCAAGGTGGTCAAGGATATGTGGTCCGTGGCAATTTAGATGGAATTTTTTAACGAACATGATTAGGTTGAAAATTAAATAAAAGGAATATATTGGTTCTATGGTTTTATATGTAGTTTTTTTCCTTTAATCATATATATCCATGGGAATAACTTGTAGTTAAGAACAATCATTTTCTAGGGGTGGATTGGATAAGGCTGCAATCAACTGATCCTTTGAAAGAAGTATAAACATAAAGTACGATAAACTAGCTTGAGGGCAAGAGTTGAACATCAAGTATGCTAATTTGATTAAAAATGCGTTCTTGATGCACTTGCGGAAAACTCCTTACTGAGAGCCTTGTGCACGCTTGGGGATTAGTCGGGCTTTGATCCGGACACTCTGGTGCCAATCTAAAAAAAAGAAAAGAAAAAATGCATTCTTGATGCATTATGTTTGGACTTTCTTAAGAGTTCATCCTTATTTATTAGTAGCCTTTCACAGTTAAAACCTACTCTCAAGAGGGTTGACGTTTGGGGCTTTAGAACCTTGGACCTTCTTTCAATTTAGCTATTTCTTTCTGCCCTTTTAGAAGTTATGTTTGGCACCACTCTTTTTTTTGCTGTCACTCTTTGTTACTACACTGTGTTGTTTGATGTATGGAAAAACCTATGAAGAATGTTCTCCTTCATTACCCTGTTTTCCGTATTTCTTTTTTCTTTTGCTCTTTCTTTGCTTTTCTTTTCTTAAATCATCATAATGAAATTGTGCAAATGAAACTGCATTTTAATCTATTGCTGTACTACGTTTCTGTACAGAGTGAACACTTGAAATTGACCTTAACTGGGGGTAAACTGGGCATATTTTTCTTATATATGTTATCATCCTGTGGACAGACAGCAAGTGTGGATGTGGGGCTGATCGATAAGTTGGAAGAAGATATATAATAACAAATGAGTTGCAAAAAGGAAATGCACTACAAAATGAAAGAAACAGCCACTTTCCTTCTGCTTCCAACGTTTCACATGTGGTTTCTTCAACTCCTTTTCCTCATCATGTCAACTACGGACCATCCACTCCGTCCTTCTGCTCCATCTCTCTGTCATTCTCTTGGAACTTTTCTACTTCTTTCACCAGACCTTCTTTTTTCCCAAATCCACTCTTCATTTTTGCAAGTATTCACTTCTTTTTGTGTCGAATATGAGTCTTTTTTGTGGTTCACAAAGGCATAAGTTGTTGACAAAGCCATTGCATCGGTGGTCCATACCAGTGAAAAGAGATGTTCAATTGGGTCTTCTGAAGAAGGCATCAATTACACTTCCACCCATGCCTACTCTAGGGATATCCTGAAACACTGGACAAATTGTATCAACCCTACCTCAAACATTCGTATCACTCTCAAAGAGAAAGTGGGTTGGACACTGCTGGTCCTGATGATGTGTCTATCTTAAGTGTAACAAATCTAGTGATCGGTGGTTGGATATGACAGCAAGTATCAATTGGGAATATGCACTCTTCTTTATAATATGCCTCGCTACATTTGTACTCCAGCAACAATAAAACAAATCACACAGAACATGGAAAAGTCCTCTTTCTTTCTCTTTTATTACACTAACATATCTCTTGAACATATAGTAGAACAAAATCTGATTAGTTTATGTAAGTAGTTGAAAGATTAGTATCTTCTGAGTTGATATCTTGAAAGCAGACTCCATATTGGTATGCCAATAACTTTCACTTTTTAGGAGAAGTATAGTTGAAGCTTATGATTGTAATTAAACAACATTTTAGCTGTGCTAATCATAACTTGTATTGTTAGCTCCTTGACAAATTTTCTCGAGAAACATACAGAAAAATAATGCTACTAGATTTTCTGATAAGTTGTTCTGTTTCTCTCATAGATTCCCTATTTCCACTCAAAAAGGCATAGTGCCGCATGGACGGCAAGTTAATCACCTTATCTGGTTTTGCTTCTTCCATTTTCTTTTCATTTATTCTCTCTCTTTTTGCACACATTTTTCTTGCTCTCTTTCGTCCATTGAAAATACAAGCTTCAATTCAGATTGCTTTCCTTTAATTCTTTACTCTCTTTTTCTTATTAGATTTTGTTCAATCCAATCTGTATTCAAGCAAAGTTCCATGGTTTCTTGCCTAACCAACCAACCAACTATGCAGTACCTAGACCTAGTCAAAAGAAAACAACTAAAGGTTTGATTGGGTTGGGACCACAGATAACTGTACCAGTTGTCTTGTCTTTATATCCTTCATTCCACTTCAATTGTAACAATAATTAGGAAACAAAAAATTGGGAGGTTTACCAATGTCTAAAATGACATGAGGAGCTTTAAGAAATCTAAAGGGTTCAGAGAAGGAATATGAAAAGGCTAATGATGTGTTTGGCTGGGAGATTCGGAAAAAGATTTAGAAAGGAAAATGAAAAATGAATGTGAAATATGAATAAAATATATTTACATTTTATATAGTTTTACATACTTTTTTTTCTTTTATTTTTCAAATTCCTTTCCAAATCTCTCAACCAAACATAGCATAAAAAGAATCAATAATCAGAGGATGGTAAATGAAAAAAGGATAAGGCAACAATTAGGAAAGTTGATAGACATGTGAGAGAATATTGACTCCTTCATTAGTTGAATGGGAAATGTGGGGTTGTTAATGGATTTCTCTATCTAAAAAAAAAATTTGCCTCCACTTTGGATATAGCTTCAGAAATTCAAAATATATATATATATATAATAAGAGTTAAGAAATGTCAAATTTGGTTGTGGTGTCCATGATATCTTAGACCCATGAATAGATCGATCATGATAGCAAAAAAACATATAAAACAACTCACTTTGTACATTGGGCCTCGGGTGTTGAGTTTGAGTGATGTTTTTCCAAAATAATTTGAGGCCCAGCCCAAGTTCTGGAAAACTTGAAACACAAATGAATTGCATGATCTTTGCAAGGTTCATACTTGGGCCTCGATCCTCGGCCCATATTTTTCATTTTCTTACCATTTGATTTGATGACTTCCTCTAGTTGGGTAATATTATTTTCTATTTTTATTTATTTTTTATTTTATAGATAGGCTCTATTTTTAAATATGAACATAGAATTAGTGATATTTGCTAGCAATAACATAATAGAGAAAAGGCAATCAATATAGATTCATCTGAAATGTGAGTTTTATGGATTTTCTCACTATGACAGAGAATGAGGTCGGAAATATCTTAGGTACAGGATTGTGGGGCAGTCTTAGGCCTATGAGTTGGCCGTCGGGCCACTGGTCTCCCCCGTCCTACCCTTTTCTTTTTTTTTTTTAAATTTTAAAGGACAACGAAAAAAAATGTATATAATATATACCTTATTATTTGGGTTTTTTATGCAACTATAATAAACTTATTTTATTCACCCAAAAATAATAAACTTATTTTGAATATTTACTAGCTAATCTTCATGCACAGATTTTGAAGGCGAAATTGTTTAGAGTCATTAGAGCATCTCCAACGGTTCAGTATTTTTTTCATCAAATTTGAATAAAAAATGGCTCATTTTCTCAATTTGATATCAGTTACTCCAACGGTGCATCAAAATCCCATGGGTCAACTGGTGTGTCGACCGGTAAGGCTAAATATATATATATATATATATATTTTACTTTTTTGAACTCTTTGAACCCATCTATGTGAACTGGGGGAGGGGCGACCGACGAGTCGACCGGTAAGGCAATTAATTTTTATTTTTTTTTGGTTTCCCTCCATTTCTATTCCCAATTCTTTTCGTATTTCTTTTTCCCTCCATTACATATATGTCGTTTTGGTTTACCTCTAACAATGATTTACTTCTAAAATCTCATATAAACACATTATTCATATGCTAGACAACTCCACACAACTAATACGATCATAGCTTAAACAAAACAGAGCATAATAAATACCTTCAAATCCATGATATTGACTTCATTTTCATCCACTTCTTCTTCATCCTCCTCTGATGATGAGTCTGATGATGAATATATAGTCACACTTTTAGGGGTTTATCAGCAGAATAATTGTAGTATGCTTCAGATTCTTAAGTCAAATGATAGCTCAAAGAAAATAGGTGGTTCTGTTGTAGGCCATAGGTATATACGCAGAGATAGAAAGCAAGGTCATGACAGTTTATTTGCAGATTATTTTGCTGTAAATCCAGTGCATTCACCTACAATATTTCAGAGACGTTTTCGAATGCGTCGTCCTTTGTATCTGCGAATTTTGAATGCAATCCAAGCACACAATTGATATTTTGTTTAAAAACAAGATGCAACTCATGTAGTTGGATTATCTCCCCTACAAAAAATGACTTCAGCAATGAGAATATTGTCATATGGTGTCGCAGCAGAAGCAGTTGATGATTACATATGTGTCGGAGAAAGCACTGCAATTCAAAGTTTGTAACAATTTTGTAATTCAGTGATTAAAATCTTTGGAGTAGAATATCTGAGATCTCCGACACCAACTGACATTGCTAGATTACTTGCTATTGGGGAGGTTTGGGGGTTTCCTAGTATGTTGGGAAGTTTAGATTTCATGCATTGGGAGTGGAAAAATTGTCCAAAGGCATGGCAAAGTCAATATGTAAGCCATCAAAAAAAGCCAACCATTATTCTTGAAGCAGTAGCATCTTATGACTTATGGATTTGGCATGCATTTTTTGAAATGCCTGGCTCACACAATGACTTGAATGTGTTAGACCAATCGCCTTTGTTTTCTGATCTTGCGCAAGGTAAAGCTCCCCTTGTCCATTACACTATTAATGGACATAGTTACGATATGGGTTATTACCTTGCTAATGGTATATACCCTCAATGGGCAACACTGGTTTAAACAATTTCTTCTTCCCAATGAGCAAAGAGACAACATTTTGCAATGATGCAAGAGTCTGCCAGGAAAGATGTAGAGTGGGCATTCGGAGTCCTTCAATCTCGATTCGCAATTATAGGTGGTGCTATACGTTTTTGGGATCCGAAAATGCTTGCCAACATAATGAAGAGCTGCATTATATTACATAATATGATTGTCGAAGATGAGAGGGAGGAGCACCTTGATTTCGATTATGAAATTTCATCAACCAACACACCAGTGCAACTTTCCTCTACTCCTACCAATGACTTCCAATCATTTTTGTATCATCATTTAGGTATTAGAGATAAGGATGCATATCATGCCCTCCGTAATGATTTAGTAGAACATATGTGGCATCTTCATGGTGAACACTAAACTCACCACGTCAATACATGTAATTTTGTTTATAGTTTTGGAATGGAAGGTTGTCTTGTTTGTAATCTTCATTATGATGCACTATATTAACCAAGTAATTCAGAAGTTATGTGATGATGTGCTGTTGTAATGATCCAATCTTTAATATTGCAGAATTGTTCTGTGTTCAATTCATGAGAATTACAAATGATAATAATCATGTCTTAAATTCTGTGTTCAATTCAGTATTGATGTGCCGCAAATGATAATACCACATCTATTTATGCACATTTAATAATCATGTCTTAAATGATAATTTAATAATAATGTCTTAAATTACTGATGTTCATGTGCATAATCATTATGTCTTAAATTACTGATGTTGATCTGCATAATCATAATTTAATAATAATGTCTTAAATTACTGATCTTAATTTAATAATAATGTCTTAAATTACTGCATAATCATTATTTGTGCATATACAACTTTATACAAATTTATTGATGTGCCATTCATTTACTGATGTTGATCTTGCCATTCATTTATTGCCTCACTTGAAATGCATTCAACATACAGAGTTAAAAAATACTTAATAATATTGCCATTCATTTAGTAAGTGGATAAATGCATTCCACCTACATTCATGGCATACTACAGACACTGTATACGTTTGAACCACCTATCATTCATTGAATTTATTCCACCTACCATGCCTCATTTTACACACACCATGGTTGTTGAGTATTAATTTCCTCACCACCTACCTTAATAATTCACCCTCTATATTAGCTCAAGATTGTATACAAACCAGTCATCAAAAAATTCACTCTATTCACTAAATACCTCTGCCCACAGATTGCCTCTATAAGAACACATTCACTGTATTCCCTCCACTACCACCTTCAAATTCGACTTAACCAAATTCTAATCTCAAACTCTGCATATTCACTATATTATAAGTGTGAATCCACAGAATTAGCAAGGCAAACCATCTGAATCAAGAAAGCCAACATCAGCAGGATGTGTTTGACATTATGTATTTGCATGGTTTTGTATTTTGTTATTTTAACAACCTTTTGTTGGGTCGATTTGTTAAAGAGGACGAGGTTATTTAAAACCTATTCAGTTATGACATTGGCCTATTTAGTTATTACCACTTCATATTGTAGTTTTTCATTTTAATGCCTATTTGACAAAGGACATGATTATGTACATTCTGAAAAGGCTATAAAAAGGTCATTGTTCAGTTATGATTTTCTGGTATAAATCCACATTGAACTTGAAATATGATGTTCCATAAATCATTATGTTCCATTTAATAAAATTGTGATTACATGATTACTTATCACATTAATAATTCCAATAAAACTAACCAATACAAGTTATATACTACTATTTTTAAATAATAAAGCCAATAGATGAAACCCACTAATACAAAACCTTTCAAGGCAATCTATTAGTTGTTCAAAATAAAATTTGTCGTTGAAGATCTTCGTAGTACGCCCTTTGCATAGGATTTAAAATTGTCATGTCCATTGACATTATTTTATGATCTTCATTTCGTTGTTCTCTTTCATTCATCATAGATAGGAGTTTTAGTTGTTCCTCCCTATCTTCGGCCCTTCTTCGACGCTTTGCAGCCTTCTACTCACGGTCTATCGCCTTTTGTTCATCTCGCTCAATAGTTCTAGCAGAGATAGTTGATAACACTTCAACCAATTTTGGATTGGTTGGCAGCCATTTCATCAAATCTACTATCGTGCGTTGTTTGATTATTCAACTTCTCTTTCGCTGCCTTAGTACCAATTGGTCGTGTTGATGTATTAGATGGTTGTTCGTGCACCGCATTATTCTGGTTGGATTGAAATGACTCATATTTAGTTGGTGGATTCGAAGATGGATCAGTATGTTGCGTGCTTCTTTTGGGTTGTGATCGAAATTCATCCCACTTACAACTTCGGCGCAAAATATCCTAACATGTATCAAATGTGAAGTGTTTTTTTCTGTATTGCATGATACATCCGCTTCGCTTCAGCGACCTACAAAAAAAAATTACAAACATTTCAATAATAAGTATACATTTAGAAAAGAAAATTGATATTTAATAACACAAATAAATTTTACCATGTTTGTCTCAGTTGTTCCACTTTGTTGCCTCAGTTGAATTTGTTCAAGAAAATCACAGAATTTATTAATTGCCTTTTGCATGCCAGACCAATGGTGAGACAAAGAAATACGGCTTCTATTTGATTCACTGCTCAATTGTAAATTAAAATAAACAAGTACTCATTCCCAAAATATAGCCATAGTCTGACTATTACCAGTAATGGGATCTTGAGAGACTGCTAACCAAGATCTACATAAAGTTTCATCTTCTATAATTGTGAACGCTTTACCACGAGAAACACAATAAATTTCTGAAATAAAATGATTATCATTGTTCTGCGTGTTCTATTCTCTTGAAGTTTCCGACATAAAATTAATATCAGTGTGCTCCAACATTTGTGATTCCTCAAACATTTCAAAATCTTCCATAGTTTGGAAAAAATACAGTGCATACAATATCTAACTTACTGAAAAATATTAGAATGATATACACTTAACCTCAGAATCAGATAATTTAATCAGATAATATAAATTAAAATTTCAAGGTTCAAAAAATTTCTAATGACACAAAAGAAACAAAATTCACAGCATATAATGTAATGCTATTCTGAAAATGAAATACTCTGTCAGCTTGATATACGAAATAGATATATTTTATAGAGCACATCATCAACGGTAAAATTTCAAAATACTCTGTCCATCCAACGGTAAATTATTAGAACGGTTAGTTCTGAAATATGTATATGAGAGATAACAATTTCAATTATATTTTGAAGGGAATTTAAATTTATATCACCCTTCAAATTATTCATAATCCAAAAAATAACGTATCTCAAAATAAACCAGTTCAAACCAACCAGTTCAAACTAGTTTAAACCTGTTCAAACCAGTTCATTACTGTTGTCGTAGAATTGATCAACCCGATCGACTGGTTGGCCAACCGGCCGGGCAACCGGCTGGTTAACCGGTTGATCTCCAACGGTCACGCACACAGTAGAGCAGTTCAAACCAACCAGTTCACAATTCAAACCAACCAGTTCAAACCTGTTGCATAATTGATGAACCGGTCGACCGGTTGGTAAACTGGCCGGGCAACCAGTTGGTTGACTAGTGCCTCTCCTCCAACGGTCACACACAGTAATTTATTGAAATCTGTACCCTGTTCTCAGTTTGATGATTTTTTTGTTGAATTCTCATTTTGATACCAATTTGCTGAAACCGTTGGAGCACTAAAAAGTAACTTTTTCACCAAAATTCAATTCTGATGCCAAGTTTGGTTCACCATTGGAGATGGTCTTACAGAGCATGTTGATTCGGAAATAAAAGGTTTACTTGCATCAGGCTTCATTTGGTGTGCCGTGGACCATATGAGCTGTGCTTGTTGGTGTGTAACCAGAAGCTCGAATCAAGATTTCAAGCTCGTTAAAGTTTATATGCCTAATAAAAATTAAGGTTTCGTTTGGAAATAAATTATTTTAGTAATTTTTTGATAATTTAGCTAAAATATGAGGTAAAAAAAAATTAGTATATTTGGAATAATTTTTTAATTTTTTACGAAAATATTGCAAAATGTAGAGAGAAATGAGAATCGTTAACTTTTTGATATAGGTTGTTGGCTTTTTGATTTTTTTAGTGATTTTTTGACTTTTAGGATAAAAAGTAATGTTGCCAAACGAGACCTGAATTACGTAATGCTCTAAATAAGTGCACTTTTTGACTTTTTGTGAAATGTGGGTTGGATATGGGTTGAGTTTGAAGTGATGGGATGGAGAGGTGATGTGACTTAAATAAGATAAATAGGATAATGACTTTTTGACTTTTTATCTTTTTTTGAAGATGCCAAACCAGGCCTTAATTAAACTTTAATTAGAACTTGTTTGAAATTAATTTAAAAAGTAAACAAATCAAGTTTAAATAAAATTTGAAATTAATTTAAGTTTTCAAGTCAATTTTAAATAATTTTACTAATTGAGTTGACTCGACAGACAACCAGGACTAAAGCCATAAGCAAAGAAACCAATTTCTTAGTTTATAAACTCAGTGATCATCATTGGAAATTACACACCAAGTTTAGGTATAATAATAAACATTTTGAAAATAATATTTTGAAAAGATAGTTAATTTTTTTTTAAAAAAAAACATGTAAAAAATTTAAGAAATGATATAATTCAAAATGGATACTGACTTCCAAAACAAGATATATTTATGCTGTTAAAATTAACATGTTGAGAAGAGAGACCATAGTTCAACATCTCACTTACCACACACAGTTTACATTGAATATTAATTTATTAATGTATTTTTGTTACTTCACTCCATCAATAGAAAGAGAGTTTGCAATATTGAAAGAGATTGTGAGGCCATGCTTGCTTATGATACACTTCACTTTCTGCCTAGGCATTGGCAGGTAATAACAGTAGATATATATGAACACAGTCTTGTTGATGATTAGGGGTGGGCAACGGTTTATTCGAATCGCTCAAACTGCTCAACCCACATATAAATGAGCAGTTTCGTAAACATAATACGGGCGGATACGGTTTGAAATATGATAAATTTGCAGATTACGGGCGGGTCACGGGTTAAACCCGCAACCCACAAAAACCGCCCGTACTTTAATTAGTATTATTATTTTTTTTTTATATACTAAATTTGTAACTTTAACAGGAGCACCATTATGTTCTCTATGACACCAGGATCCTTATTTTTAAGTATTTCTCAACTTTCTTAATGTCATAAAATTATCAAGTCCTAAACTTGATTTTTATATGATTTTCATTGGTGATTCATCTATTTTTTTCTAATAAAATTTTCCTTCTTCTGGTCTATGAAACTTCTAGTTTGATTATTAATTACTGAATTGACAATTCTAATTGAGTACAACCTTTAATGCATTGATATACATTTTTTTTCATAGCAAAAATATTAGTGTAGGGTCTCTTTGTTTTGGATACTTTCATTTAATGTATTGATATTCAATTTTTGTTTGGAAACTCATCAGAAATTTGTTGTCAAATGATCAAAAATATATAAAATGAATTTGATGTTTAAATTCGATGGAAAAAAAAAACTCAAAAATTAATTTTTAAAGAAAAAAGTGTGAACCGCAAACCGCCCGCACATTTACAAACTCTATACGCACAAACCGCAAACCGCACTGCGGGCGGTTGCGGATTGACTTTTTCCCAAACCGCATAGATGCGGGTGGGTCAAAATCGAACCGCAAACCGCACAAAATCAATCTGCGAACACCCCTACTGATGATATATGTATATATATAAAACAACTTAATGACGGATATGAAAATTGCAATTATTTTTGTTTTGTCACTTTGGATTGCATTGGGTCAGAGGTTGGCAATTGCAAACAGGAAATTAAATAAGGACCCAACCACTGGTGATGGACCCTCAAACCACCTTCACTCTTTGACCCTCTCCAGCATGCTTACCCCTCTGCTTTTTTTTTTTTTTTTTTTTTTTTTTTTCTGAATAATGCTATATATATTAATTAATGTATTCACAGATGATGTAACATAATTTTAGAAGTTTAGATATTTGTAATTTAATTAATAGGTGAAGTCAGCAATAATGACATAACACTAGTTGGTACATTAATTAATATATTAATTGGTGCATGTAGTACCACCATTTTTTTTTCTTAATTAGGGTCAAAAGTTGGGTTTTCATATTTTAGGTAGTCATTTTTAACTATTTTTTTTTCCAAGTAGTGTTATCTTCTTTGTCTCCTTATTAGTTAAATATTATTTTTTATTTTAATAAAAAAAATATAAAACATAATATTTTATGTTTGGGAAGAGGTATAGTTTAGGAAGACTTATTTATAAGTCTTTTTTCAGACACTTATGCTAGACTAAGTCCTGTGTAATTTCTTATAGAGTCTCAAATCCTATTTAGATAGGAATGTATTCCACAAGATCCTACATAAACGTAACGTGACATGACACTTACATAAATGTAACGTAACGTGACACCTATATAAACGTAACGTGACACCTATACGTAACGTGACACCTATATAAACGTAACGTAACGTGTCACGTTACGTTTTGCAAACTTAATTAGTTTTTATTTTTTTAAATTGAATGTGAAAATGTTACTACTTTATGTTGGTGTCACGTTACGTTTCATATAAATATGATCTATGACAACATTCAATTTCCTATCGTAGGTGTCACGTTACGTTTATATAGGTGTCACGTTACGTTACGTTACGTTTAGATTGCTTTGGATATTAGATTGCTTTGGATAACAGAGGACAGTGAAGTTGAAATGTTTGGGGAAATCAGATTGCTTTGGATAATATTTATGATTTGTTTTGTACACTCATTTTTTTTGGGAATATTAATCATGAGAGAATGAATTACTAGAAAACAAATAGTAAAACTTGTCTGACCTGGTGAATTTTGGTAAGATGAATCACTTATTTATGTTGGTGTCACGTTACGTTTCATATAAATATGATCTATGACAACATTCAATTTCCTATCGTAGGTGTCACGTTATGTTTATATAGGTGTCACGTTACGTTACGTTACGATTATGTAGAGGAAATTGAATGTTACCATAAATCATATTTATATGAAACGTAACGTGACACCAACATAAACCAGCAACATTTTTACATTCAATTTAAAAAAATAAAAACTCATTAAGTTTGCAAAACGTAACGTGACATGTTACGTTACGTTTATGTAGGTGTCACGTTACGTATAAGTGTCATGTTATGTTTATATAGGTGTCACGTTACGTTTATATAGGTGTCATATGATCTATGGTAACATTTAATTTCCTATATATTGTTTTACTATTATTTATGATATTAACAACTAATATTGAAGGTAAATATGTCAACAAACTTCTCACAGGATTTATGGGAACATAAATTTTTTAGTAAGACCATATGTAGTATAAGTCTTCCTAATAAGACTTATAAATAATTTTTCCATTTTATATTTACAAATTTAATTTTTTGTTGTACGAAGCATATTAGCATTGTAAATAAAAATAATTTTATTATAAAAGAAAATAATAAAAAATTTGAATTTTCTTCACGTAATGTGGTTCGAACAGTTTAAGAGTAAAATTATAAATCAAATAGAGAATTGATAGATTGGCAAATCACAGTTTGGGAGGAATTGAAGAATATTCTTAACAAATTATCAAGTATTTGCCTAATATATAATCTTAATTTGCATAATATTTTTTTTATATATAATACAAATTAATCTGACATAATATTTATCATACATATAACTATTAATTTGTAATAAATTTCACATCTAAATTTCTCACACTTATTTTTACTTTGATATTTCATTATCATTAGATGTTAAAAAATATATATGTATTAATTATAGTAGAGTGGAGCAATTTCGAAGATGGATTATAACTATTAAAGTTCAATCTGCGCTTAGCGGATTGATGTGGATCGGTATAGTTTTAACAGATTTAACGGTATGAGTAAAATTATAAATCAAATAGAGAATTGATAGATTGGCAAATCACAGTTTGGGAGGAATTGAAGAATATTCTTAACAAATTATCAAGTATTTGCCTAATATATAATCTTAATTTGCATAATATTTTTTTTATATATAATACAAATTAATTTGACATAATATTTATCATACATATAACTATTAATTTGTAATAAATTTCACATATAAATTTCTCACACTTATTTTTACTTTGATATTTCATTATCATTAGATGTTAAAAAATATATATGTATTAATTATAGTAGAGTTGAGCAATTTCGAAGATGGATTATAACTATTAAAGTTCAATCTGCGCTTAGCGGATTGGTGTGGATCGGTATAGTTTTAACAGATTTGACGGTATTTTACACAATCCCAACATAAGAGGTTATTTATAATTAAAATTTTAAAATTATCTATTATTTTCTTACAAAATTTTCATTCTAATTAAATGTGAAAACATATATTTCCTTTCCGATGTTTTTTTTTTAAAAAAAAAAAAATTTCGCTTCACTTTATTTTATTTTCACTTTTCATTATTTTTTCTTTCTATTCAAAGGAGCCATAAGGACAAAAAAAAAATAAAAAATAAATAAATAAAAATAAAAAATGAAACAAGAAAAATGATTCGGGGGAAGGGGGGGGTGGGGGAGATGGGGAAGAGGGGGTCTCAATTACTTCCGAAGAAACAATTATATAATGGAATTGTATAGAATATATTATAATTTATTAATTCATCGTTTTAAAATACAAAATTCCGAAGAAACAATTATATAATGGAATTGTATAGAATATATTATAATTTATTAATTCATCGTTTTAAAATACAAAAACCAAATTGATAGAAGTACAATATTTTTTACTTGAATTTTTGTAACTTTCAGAGAAAGAGGGAGTGTGTAATAATAAGAATATTAAAAATTTTACTAAATATTTTACCAAAAATCTCAGATATAAGTTCCACATAAATGTGGGTGATTTACATTTGATAAAATTTTTAAAACTTCTGACACTTTTCGTATAAAACCCTTATTCTCACTCGTGCAGGGGTTTTGTCTTCTTTGGGGGGTTGTTTTCAAGAATCCCAAGAAAAAGACAGCCAAACAAACAAATAAACGCTATTGGGGACCCCAATAGACCTACCCATTGTTCAGATCAATACATCACATCTCTCTCTGCTTCATCTTTGTGAGATGGTGGGGGCTCTGTCAATTTTTTAAAGTTTTGAATTTCCTCCCCGCCTTCTCCTTTTGCTTTCTTTCTAATTCTTGTGACCCCCTCCTCTCTCTCTCTTTCTCTCTCACCCAACCACTACAGTAGAATATACTATTTATTAAAATATTATAATAAAATCAATAGTCTATGTGGTGTGGCTGTGCCTCCATTTTTCTCATGTTCACATCTTCAAACTGCTCTTGAATTTACTACTACGAAATGGCAGATTTACAACTCCACATATTTGGTTTTCAGGTACTTTGGTTCTGTTCTTTTCTTTTCTTTCCTTTCCTTTCTTGGTTTCTTGTTCAGTATTTTCTTTCTTTTTCCCTAGAAAAAACTTGTGTTTATTCTACTTCAATTGTTTTCTTTTTGTCTGTCGTCAATGCCATTGAACTATTACTACTCCGATTGTATATACCTTAGTTTCAAAATTTTCAGGGTTTTGTGGTGGGTTCTTTAATCTTTGCAATACTCAAATTGTTTGCATTTTTGGGAGTGTTCCGAGTCTTTCTTTAGACTCTGCTTTCTTCATGTGTATTTTTACACCGAATCATTGTAAATAACCCAAGATAACCCAATTAGAGAATTTTGTCTCTCATTTTTCACATCTTTAAAGAAAAGTAAAGATTTACTTGTTTTGGACAGTTGCTCAGGTTTAGTAATGGAAACTAAAGATTCAGATTTTTAACTTTCTTTCTTTGTTTTCCTTATAAATTTGGATGTTTTCTCAGTCTCTTCAAATAATGGAAGCTGATGATTGGTGGATTTAGACTTCTTTAGTTTCCACTATCAATTAGTTGGTTCTGTTTATCAAATTTCAGATAAATTGAATTTAAAGATTCAAGGTTTTGTTTTGGATAGAATGACATATACAAAAAAAGCCGTTCATCCTTTTATTGCGAATCTGTGATTCCATTGTTGTTGTGTTTATTTTATTTGAGTTTTAATATGTCTTGGTACAAAGCTATGTAGGCTCAATGGTAACAATTCAAGTCAATGTAGAATGATAGACTAGTTAAACTAAGCTGCCATTCTCTCTCAAGTCTCATCCCTAGGTACGTTTGCTGCTTGCAGTTTTACTAGTTAGTCTATGATTAGTGAGTAGTTGGTGCTTGGGGCCCTTGGGATTAATAAGAAAAGTATAAGAGACAAGACAACATGACGGGATGCTCAAATTCAGAAGATACTTGTATCAATCGAGCTGAGCAAGTTGGATGGGAGAATGATTTTTTTCTTAATGTTTATTAAACATGCTTAATTCTCATGCTGCTATAAATTTTTTACCATAAACTGGTGGTGGTCTCTCACTGTTTATTTATTTATTTTTTGTATATAAGTGAATACTCGCTAGGATTGGAATTCGTTGGAAAACATCAGACGTGGAAGTGGCTTGCTGGAAGCACATAAAATGGAGAAGTATGAAGTGTTAGAGCAGATTGGGAAAGGTTCCTTCGGTTCTGCACTACTTGTGAGGCATAAACAAGAAAAGAAGAAGTAAGGACTCACCCGTCCTTTTTCTTTCTAGAAAGATATCAGTTTTATGTGTTTCATAATTTGCATGGATACTTTAGGAGATGGACCATGTGAAATGAGATTCGTTATTAGTTTTTATATGTTCATGTATTATGGTGGTAGATGGTTTCATATTTTTTTTGTCTTTCAAGGTATGTCTTGAAGAAAATCCGCCTTGCTCGTCAGACTGATAGGAGCCGCAGATCTGCCCACCAGGAGGTCAGTGGTTTGTTAGTGCTTTATATAAACCAGAACTGACACAGAAATTAAGGTCTTTGAATTCAATTTATATGCAGAATGTTTTTGTCTGAGTTAGGGTTGCTCAAACTGATAATTAGATCAATCATGCATGATATTAGTTATGAGATATGTTTTTAATGTTAAGTAATCCATGTATACAAATAACTTGCAACTGTCAGGCTTTTTGAAAGCTTATGGTTGTTGGTGTTTCCATGTGGGCTGCTTTGTTGCTTCTAACGTAGATAAAATCTTTTATATTTTATTGGTAAATGTTTAGGCCTGAGTATGGTTTTCTATAATTTGAATGTTCAATGGTGAACTAAATGTAGTCAAACAGATGGGCTTATTCCTCTGTTGAACTAACTCTTCAATTGGCATGGATTTGATGAATGTTATATTTTACATGTATGACATCTTGTGCCTATTCATTTTTTTTTGTTTGTTTGTTTGTTTGCGCAGATGGAGCTTATTTCTAAAGTGCGAAATCCATATATTGTGGAGTACAAAGATTCCTGGGTAGAAAAGGTCTGTTTGTAATCTTGTGAAATAGTTTTCACTAGGGATAGTAATATAAACATTCTATAGTAATATAAATACTGTAGAAATTTAATGTATAAAGAGAAATAGAGAATTGTATTGTTGATTGATATAATGTTATTGATGGTTATTACAATTCCTATACAATCTATATATAGAAGAAAATGTGGTAATAGGTGTAGTGGAGGTGATAGTGGGTTAGGTGAAGTGGAGTGTGTGGTGAAGTGGAGGTAGGTGAAGTGGAGTGTGTAGTGGAGTAGGTGAAGGAAAAGATGGGAAATTCTAACAAATACCATAGCAAGCACCAAGTACCATAGCTTGCTAAATAATTTCAACATTTTTTTGACAGCCCTTTTACCTTTTCTTTTAGGACTATTTACGTATTCCAGTTAAATAGCTGAATACTACTCACTCACTAGAATGTTTCAATATGGAAGGACAACAAAGCGGAGATTATTTAGCCATTTGTAACCTGGTTTGCTAAGGTTTGTCTTCTCTTTCAGGGATGCTATGTCTGCATAGTCATAGGGTATTGTGAAGGAGGAGACATGTAAGTAATTTTCTTGCTTAAATGATTTCTATGAGTAAAAGCTAGATCATTTATTTGGATATGATGCATTCTTGATTTTGTGTGACCCCATCTTTATTGGTATAGGGCGGAAGCTGTTAAAAGAGCTAATGGTCTCCATTTTTCTGAAGAGGTTGTTATTTGGCTGCCAACTTTACAATTTCTTTTCTAATATATAATTTTCACAAGAAATACTTCTTGAATTTACTTCGATTTCATTCATCAATGTTGAATGATGTTCAGAAACTCTGTAAGTGGCTAGTTCAACTCCTGATGGCACTGGATTACTTACATACAAACCATATTCTTCATCGTGATGTCAAGGTTAGTTGCGCCTCTGTACAGTTTGTAAAGTTGAATGAAATATTATATATCTGAAATCTCTAAAGCTGTTCTGCGCTGCTGATGTTTCACACTTGTTACAGTGTTCAAATATATTTCTGACAAAAGATCAAGACATACGTCTAGGTAAATGATGTGATATTTTCTTTCTGTCATTCCTGTCCTGACGGACTTTATAATTTTCTTGATGCATATGCTGCTTACTGTGCCATTTATCATTGTGTTATAGCGTATTAGCTGCTTTCAAAATATCTGTTCGTTGCAGGTGATTTTGGTCTTGCAAAGATGTTGACTTCTGATGATCTTGCTTCCTCTGTGAGTAGTATTGCTGAGATCATTGCTTTAGCTTCGTGTTTGTTTGTCTGCATAATCTAGTTACTTATTTACTCTTATGTGTTTGCTTCAATTGCAGGTGGTGGGAACTCCTAGTTATATGTGTCCTGAACTTCTTGCTGATATTCCATATGGTTCAAAGTCAGATATCTGGTCTTTAGGTTAAGCCCAAATCATTTCTGAACTTGACAGCTCATCTATTCTATCTGTATGTCCATATATTTGTCAGCCATTTAATGCATTACTATTATACGTGATATCCAGGATGCTGCATATATGAAATGGCTGCCCACAAGACTGCATTTAAAGCTTTTGTAAGTTATGGATTTGAAGTTTGCAAATTAATGAATTGCTAAATGAATCTTTATGAATGTGGAGTGCTTTTTATAACCACTTGTTTAGGAAGTTGCGACCACTAAAGAGATCATTCATGAAGTCATTTATCTCGTTTGGGAAGTTGATTATTTTAGTAGGCTAAAATTTTTGTGTTCGGAAAGATGATTGGATTTTTTTGTAGTTAGATGTGATGTTTGTGAGAGAAAAAGTAAAATGATTATGGGTTTGATGTGACATTTTGTCTTATTGGCTATTTTAGTCTATTTTGTCTTCTTGTGGATTTTAGCCTAAAAACACCCTAAACCCACTTCCAAAACAGAGCCATTGTATTGGGATTTGTTTCTCTCCTGTTGGAAAGCATTGATTTACTTTACATTTCTGAGTGATGTAAGATTATATTCTTGTTTGATTTCCTTGCAAGTACCATCTCTGTCTGGCAGTGATCTGAGTTTGCATGATGCAAAAACAGTGGTCATCTCAATCATGTTGAAAAAGATTCCCGTATGCAATCCTGTATGGTGGTTTTGCATCTGAATTTAAACAACTTGGGCAGGGAGCCTGTGAATGATCCATGGAAAGAAATAATATAAATTTCATAATGAATATTTTAAATATTAAAATGATTAGAATTATATAGACTTGTTTAGTAAGAGAATCAATAATTAACTTCATTCCACTTGGAGCTCCTCTACATAGTATCACAATGGTTTTCCACACTTCTTTTTAGGTAGATCATAATTGTTCATTATTCTAGGTTGTAGTCCTTGGACGATAATAAGTTTCTTTTTTTTCCCCTTCATGAGCAGGATATGCAGGCTCTGATCAACAAAATAAATAAATCCATTGTGGCTCCACTTCCGACCATGTATTCTGGTGCATTGTGAGTTTGTTTTCTTCTTCATGAGCATCTGTCTTCGCAGTGCTTCTATTGTTTCCAGCTACAAATAACTTGCTTTGTTTCTTGAATATTCTCCTTTTCCAGTAGAGGGCTTGTTAAAAGTATGTTGCGGAAGAATCCAGAACTAAGACCAAGTGTATGTAATATTCTACATTTTCCTTTTTATTTTCGACATGTGTACATGTAGAATAACCTTTAAAAGGAAAATCACTTTATAACTATTATTACATTTTTAGGAATCACCAAGTTGATGGTCCTCCAAAGTGATCATGAGGCCAAATATGATGTTTTCATAATCCTGTTTCATGTGTCATACTGATTCAACATTACAGCTTCATATATATATATATACACACACACAAGTCACTGCTGGAAACTTTATTCATATCCAAATGCATGTAATGTGAAGCACATAATGATTAAGTCGCAGTGTGGGAACATGGATTTAACTTTGTTTCTTTGGATTTCTTCTCCCTTACCAAATGTAGTTCTGTTTTGCCAGGCTGCAGATTTGCTCAGGCACCCACATCTTCAACCGTATATTCTTAAGATTCAACTCAAATCTTATAGCCCTAGATGGAGTACTTTCCCAGTACAGTTGTCTGATTCCAACTATGTAAAGAAAACTAGATTTCTTGAGCCTGATGTTGTTACCATGCTTACGGACAGAGAGAAACGGAGATCATTCAGTAATGACAGGGCCTTGAATCCTAGTATATCTGGAACCGAACTAGACTCTCCATGTTCTTCTCAGAGGGCACAGCATTTCCCAAGCTATTTGAATAAAAAGCTCTCAGAATTATCTGTTGGCAGCATCCATGAAAATATCAGTGTTGATACGTCAACAGCCTCAAAGGTTTCGAGTGCTGCCAAGACTCCAAGATTGGCTCCAGCAAAAATGTCAGCAACTCCAAAGAGACAGACTGCTCCTTCTAGGATTTCCAACATTGTTTTAAATCATGATTTGGTAAGTTTATTTATTTATTTATTTTTTTTATAGAGATATGATAGATACAGAGATTGAGCTTTCCTTTTCCTACTAAAAGTACCCGTTAAATAATACTCTTCATGGGTATTATTTTTTGCAGCGTCCTGTGTCGCGTACTCCAGCTAGCAAACCTTTCCAACCAACACGCAGAGCATCTCTTCCATTGTCAACTAGAGCTGCGACATTTGAATCACCTTGTAAGCGTAATGTTGGTCTCCTGCAGGGTGTAGAATCTCCAAATGTCTCTGTCAATTCTCCACGAATTGACAAGGTGGTTGAGTTCCCCTTAGCCTATTCTGAAGATACCCTGTTTCCCATTCGCAAAACTTCTTCAATATCTGCACAGTGCTCTACCACCCCACCGACTAGTGGGGATCACTCAATCATGAAAGACAAGTGCACAGTTCATATTCTGGACAGGACTTTTACCAAGCCACGAAATGGAAGTGAATGCTCAGATCGGAGTCCAACAACTGTTGTTTCAAGCCGTTCATCTTCGGATTCTAGGCAGCGTAGGTTTGACACCTCATCATACCAACAACGTGCGGAGGCATTAGAAGGATTGCTGGAGTTCAGTGCACAGCTATTGCAGCAGGAAAGGATCGTGGAGCTGGGAGTGTTACTGAAGCCATTTGGGCCGGGAAAGGCTTCTCCTAGAGAAACCGCTATATGGTTAACTAAGAGCTTCAAGGAAACTGTTGTATAGCAGGAAACTAAAATCATCTCTCGCAATGTAATAATGTTATGTGATAAATTATTGGTCTTTCGTCTGCTGAGGAAGGATGAGAACTGGTGAATGTAGGTTGTTATCAAAAACTTCCCATTACAGGGAATGCGTATGCGAACTGATTAAGTTAATGAAAATGTTGAAGAGTTTGTATTTGCTTCCATTGTTTTTACTGCATCAAATCTGGTGGTTGTCTTTGGTAACATGTTTTGGATTACTTGCTAATGACTGAATGGATAATTAGAGATTATGATGCTTTACACTGGTCTGGTGGGCTGACTTCTGTTCAACTCTTTTCTTTCTTGACATAGGAGTAGCAGCAGTGTTTCAATCCCTCAGCTTGAAACAACACAGACAGCACTTTAAGCAATTAAAATTTGTTGCAGCTCTATGACGGTAATTTTCTTTGATGCACTTGCATATAAACTATGATACACATTGTTACAGTTTTATATGATAAAAACACAAAACAGCAGGTTGCTTTGGTAAGACTAGACTATTATAAGGTTGTGTGGATTTTTTTTTTCCATTAAACAGTCCAAGCATCTTTTCAGTCTTTGTCAAACCATAGATCCTTGGTTGGTTTGATATGAGCAACAATAATATTACAAAGACTTAATTACTTAAAAATCATACGGAATTATTATGTTGTAATTCACATTTATTCTATACATACAACTCATACTACATAAATTTAATTCCAATCACACATCATTATTTGGAGTAGACAAATTTGAATTCATAAACTTATAAATTTGATATTTATGCTGCAATTTTATTATTACGTAATACATCTTTGATTGTGTTCCTTCACTCTTATTGATTATAAAAAAAATTAAATAAATTTAGATCATAAAAAAAGGGAAAAATATTAATTATTAAAATCATAATTTTTGACATGTAATATCTCCTAAAAAAATTACTAAATAAGAATTTTGTTAATAAATATCTTAAGAGTGCTTGTTAAATACATTCATTCCTAAAATGGTGTTGTATAATTGTCGGTTATTATCTTAGGTCATCTCAAATCTTTACTTGTACAGTAAAATTTTAAGTAAAAAGTTTAAAAATTTAAATTTGAATAAAATTGTCGGTGCCAAGGTCAAAATAAAGATAAATTAGTGAAAGTTTTGGTTTAAAAAATCAAATGTAGTATTGGGTTAAAAGTAGATTAGTGAAAAGTTGGGTAAAAATAATCACGGTTATTGAGGGGTTTAGGGTTTAATGACATTTTTATAGATTTAGCTTCGAAGCTCAGCTCAGCTCAGCTCGAACTCACATTACATCTATTCACTAGACGGAGAGATGGAAGAAGAGGAGGCAGGAATTCTGGAAGCCTACGAACTCCAATTCTCTGATCTCATGCTCTTGAGTTCGAACAAGGATTCACGGCCATCGTTTTCATCAGAAGAGATCGAACGGTTAGAATCGATCGCGAGAAGCGTAATGGAAAACCTAGGGCCTACAGGTCCAGGTCTGCTAACAATCACCGGAGTCCCCAACGCTTCCCATCTCCGCCGCACACTCCTTCCACTCGCCCGCCGTCTGGCCCTTCTCAACTCCGACCATCGCAAACGCCTTCTCAAGGTATAACTTTCTTCGTTTTCTTGCGTCTTTGCAGCAATCAAATTGCCCCATTACAGCATCTCCAATCCTTTTTTATTTTTATTTTTAAATATTTAATTTGATTCCAAATTTGAGTAAAAACTTGATTTGATATGAACTACTCCATCCCTATCACCAAGTTTTCAATTCTGTTTCGTTGTTAGCATTGGCATTTAGTTATTTTTGATTGGTTTGAAACTGGTTATTATAAAATCAATGATATGATTTTTTGCAATTCAAAGGCTACAAGCATGTTTTCTTGTTATTATATGTTGCAGTAATAATGTAAAATTTGGGATAAAAAGGGAATTTCTAAAATGACAATTTGATGAAAGGATTGTACTAGTTCATATCAAATCAATCTTTTTACTCAAACTTAGAATCAAATTAGATGAAAAGTTGGAGGTGGTCTAAATTATGTTTATTTTGTGAAGTTCTTGTGTTAAAAAGAATAATAAAAAAAAAAAGAAAAAAAAAGAAAGAAAGAGAAAGAAGAATCGGACAAGTTGCTATACTTTTTGTATGCTAATAAAAATAAGATCTTATTGTTTTTTTTTTTTTTTTTTTTTTTTTTTTTTGTAACTCATATACTTGCAGGAACATGGCTTGGGGAGTGATGTTCCACTGAAGAATCTTGATAGAACTGTCTCATCTTTTGCAATGCAGCTAAAATACATGCAAGGCGTTGAAATTACTGGTGGTGAGGCAAGTCATGAAGGGGGTGACAATCACAATAGAGAACAGCATTATCCTGCTGCTGATGAGTTGAGAGATTTTCAAGATAGTGAATTTAAGAATCTTTCTAATAGTTTTAAGGAGCTTGGATTTTGCATGATTGAGGTGGCGCTTCGCCTTGCTCGAGTCTGTGATAGAGCCATTGGTGGCCAAGAGCTAGAGCAAAGCTTATTGGAGTCCTTCACGGCAAAAGGGCGTCTCATACACTACCATTCAACTCTAGATAACCTTATCTTAAAGGAGGCTGCGAAAAGACAGCAATCTACCAAAAGAAAAGCTACTCAACATTCAATTAGAAATGAGCAACCACATATAAATGGAAATGAAGCTAGATCATGTGAAAATCATTCAAATCTGTGGCAGCAGTGGCATTATGACTATGGTATTTTCACTGTTTTGACAGCTCCATATTTTATTTTGCCGTGTCATAAACAAACACCACGAGAAAATGGATGCTTTTGCAGATCTTGTGAGCAAGAATGTCCTTCCCCCAGTGGACACACATATTTGGAAATATATGATCTGAATAAGAATCGTATTCAAAAGGTTAGGGCATCTCCTGAAAGTTTCGTTGTTCAGGTGGGAGAAGCGGCTGATATATTATCGAAAGGGAAGCTTTGTGCTAGCCTTCACTCTGTCCACAGACCGGTAAAGGTGGAAGACTTGAGCAGAGAAACTTTTGTTGTCTTCTTGCAACCGGCATGGAACAAAACTTTCTCCCTTGCGGATTACCCTGTCAGAAATTTCCAATCAAATTGTGAGAATTATGCATTGTGTACTGAGGAAACTTCTGGTAAACTAGCTGAAGAACTCCATAAAATAGTTCCGCCACTTGGATCACGATTGAAAGATGGGATGACATTTGCAGAGTTCTCAAAAGAAACTACCAAGCAATATTATGGTGGCAATGGTTTACAGTCAAAGAGATAAGATCTCCCAAGTGTACTGCACCATAAATCTTGGTAATTAATAAGCTGTGATTCTTATTAGTGATCCTCCATTTTTGGCTATCACAATCTTATCTCTGATTGGCATCTGTTGGTGTGCAATTAAAGGCCGGTGGTAATTGGCATTTGTGAGTTTTTACTGGTCAAACCAGGCCTTGTGTGCATCCCACTGCAAAGAAACGTTCAACCTTCAACAATATTGTTGCATCATTGCAGTTGAAGCTTTCCTCTTGCTAGGTGCAGTATTGTTACATTATTTGGCCATGGTTTTTGAGTAGTGGAAGGCTTATATATGTAGGACTTCATTTTTGGAGGAGGAAAAAATGGTTTATTGAAATGTTTTGGTCATTGCAGAACACTCTGTCTTGAAGTTATCTGGTGCATAAAACCATGTAAAGACTTTGAGGCTGATGCTGCTTCTGAAATATAGAGTTCATGGTCTCTGCTGCAGCAAAGAATATTACCAGTATGGCATGGGGAAAACTTGTCTGGTCCTGTAGATTTTAAGGTGGAGCTCATATGGTATTCCTGCTACTCAATAACTCCCTTAATTGAACAAAATATATGACAGTCTTCATGCTTAAGCCTTCATCACTTGTGTGCAAGTCTGTTTGCTGTAGTGGATAGGAATTTGTAAATTGTAATCAACGTATGTTGTCTGGATAAGCCAGTATGATTCTCTAATACAACGTAAGACAATTGAAGAAATTTTAATTATGAAGTATTGTTGAGGCACGGAGGAAGTCAATAAAATCTTCTTCATTTGAATTGGTGGGTGAATGAATAAGTAATTTCGATTGTTATTAGTATTATTATTATTTAAATTTCCATCCTCATTATTGTGGCTATAGTAACTAATAAATTTTGAATTCCATCGATCCTCACTCACTCACAAAGTTATGAAGTTTATAAATTTTTTGTTGTCAAGTGTAATTAGCAAAAATAGATTTATAGTCTAATCAAGCTTATAAGAGTTCTGCATAAGACTTTTTAAGGGGTAGAAGAAAATTGAAATTGTCCTCAGGTAAAGGTTTTAGCAATCTTTATGTCTAATGCTTAAAGAGGGCCATTGCAATCCTTTTCAAGTATATGATCCCCTTTCATAGACTTTCTTAGGAAAGCATGGTATGCCTTGATCTGTTTAAGAGATGTGAGCAGAGATTGGTGGTGTATGCATGTAGATTTTTGTTTTTGTTTTTGTTTTGGGGAATATGTTTGGAAACTTACACATGATTCCTAGCAGTGTGGATCAATTTAATCAAAGCCAGTGGACTCCATTAGCAACTATACTAGTGATTCATTGTAAAAAAATGAATGAACACCAGAAGATGGAAGAAAAAATGAAAAAGTTTTTTTTAGCGCATCTACGTAGCAGCAACACGAAAAAATTTCTATGTTCACAAACTTTTTTTGTTGTATTACAACCCACTCCATAAGTTACATTGGTATGCATCATAATAAATTTTTCAGAGTTACTGTTGGGCTTCAAATCTCAGACCCAAGCCAAGTGTGATTTAGGCCTGCTTGGGGTACGGTCTGGACTTGGGTGAAAGTCTAGTGGGTCGGGCTATGGGTTTTTAGACCAAATGATGACGCTTAAGTGGAATAGCCATGCAGTTTGGTTCGTGAATTTATTATGGCTAACTTTGTTCATTTAATTGTTTATTTTAAAAATTTCCGACAGCAGATTATTCGTAAAAGAATGAAACTAATCTGATAATTGTAGGCAGGAATTTTGTGTATCATCTACATGTAAGATGATCAATTTTTAATTTTTTTTATGAATCATCTATGCACGAAGGCTTAAAAAATGAATAGATTAAATTATTAAAGTGAAGTATGTGGTGGTGTTGTACTCTTTGGACCCTTATTATTTCATAATTTTTGTATAAATTGTGTATTGATATTTTAATTATTTGGACATTTTTTGTCTTTGGACTGACGACCCAATTGTAAATTCCTGAAAAAAGCCCAACACCAGCTAGGAAAAGAAAAGGCATGCTGGTGATATTATTGAATTATTTGAAGTTGGAGCAGACTTTGGTTTGGTAAATTGAAATTGGGAAAGATAGTGATGAATCAATGGGAGAACAGGGCAAAGGGTATAAAGGGGTTGTCCTTAGTCAGTGAGTGATGGAACTAAGAAACAAAACTACTTTCATACAAATGGAGAGAGAAGGCCGTTTTCTCTCTCTTCTTCTTTTGTTTCCGGTAGAAATCTTTTTCAGAGGTGCGTGTTCAATATAATTTTGGAGCAAAAAAGCAAATTTAACATGGTTTGAGATGATCTAAATAAATATATTTTTTAATTTTTTATAAAAAGATGAGGACAAAAATAAAAAAAAATAATATAATTTAAAAAAAATAAAAAAATAAAAAATATCTTTATATAACACGCTCCAAACAAGCTCCAAAAGAGGGAGATGATGACGTATATTGGCACAAGCTCCTAAAGAGGGAGATGATGACGTATATTGGCACGCCTCCTATGCGCATTTTAGCATACACACCACTATTATTCTATTCTGTCCCCACAACACAAGTTAACCAACCCCGGTGAAAGACAGAGAGAGCTTCGCGCTGAGTTTGTCCGAGAAACCATGTCTGCAAGTTTGGTCGGGGATTGATGTAGCCAATACCTGAAACAATTTGAACACTTATTGAAGGGGGGAAAAAGCAACTCTCTATCTGATCTATCACCTTGCCTTGGTTGGTTGTTACATTCCTTTGTCCTCATGCTACATTTAATCATAAAAGCATTCATGTATGGCCAGTCTTATTTTGAGGACTTGAACATAAAATATATATTGTAAAAAATTTAAATTGATCGGATATTAATAATTTTTTTTATTCAATCACAATTGCATCTAAAAAAATTTAATTATATTGTAATTTTAAGTACAAAATTAAATACAAATATTAAAAGGTGAGTTTTTTTAGTGATATTTTTAAAAACATAAATCATTTTGATGCATTTTTTTTAAATAACAAAATCAATACACTTACCATGCAATTTTATCTATGTATTGATTATTTATTTATTTATTTATTTTGGGAGTGGGGATGGGGGAATTTTGTATTTGTTTATCATGTTTGTATTTTTGTATGGGAAAATTATTTATCAATGGTTTACTATAAAATTATTACAGGTTTATTAAAATAATTATAGTTTATTATTATTAATATGTGTAAAAAATTTCATTTATTTATATATATATATATATATTATTTTTTTAAAGTATGGACTGAAATTTTCCATCTTTGTGTTGGGGCGAGTGAGGAAAGCATTGGCCCATAGGTCCAACTCCGTGAAGGATCAAAGGTCAGCACGTGGCGGGAAAAAGGAGGCTGACAAAAACTGTGACCAGACACAACAAAGCAAAGCATGCAAAAGCACTTTACTAGCAGGAGCGAGCTCTTCTTAACTTGACCCATCTGACCATAGGCTCTACGTCGTTCCACTAGTTTAGGGATTGTTTGATATGATTTAAATAAGTGTATTTTTTAATTTTTATAAAAAATTATAAAAAAATAGAGAGATGATGTGATGAAAAAGATAAAAAGAATAATTATTTTGTATATGCCAACAATTTAGCTTAATGTAGGATCATGTTTTTTGTTTCAATTTTTTAAATTATTAATTTCGTATTTTATTTTTAGTAAATATTTTTTAAATTTTAGCAATTTTTTTTTACTTTTAGATGGCTCACTTAAATATAGTAAATAGATAAATTATTTGTGAAAAATATTTATTTTAAAAATTAAATAAATACATAAAAATATGAAAAATGTATTGAATTTTTTTATTTTATTCTTTATTCTTTCAGTATTTAGATTTTTAAATTTTTTTATATATATTTTAATTTTAAGTGTGTCTAAAAAGTAAAAAATTTGCATAAAATATTAAAAAAATTCAGTAAAAACAAAAAAAAAAAGGAAAATAAAAAATTAAAATTTTCTAAAAAGTGAATTCTGAAAATTGAAAACAAACATAATGAATGGTTTTCTCTTGTGTAAAAAAATAAATAAATTTATTGGGCATGAATGTTGTACCTGGTGTACTTCGTGTCTAATTAAAAATCTTGTATTGGTGTTGAAAACTATATGTTAGTGGAAAATAATGTGTGATATGATGCGTAATTTTTTTTATTAGTTAAACTAGTGTTATTTTTGTATTTAATGTTTGATTCTATTTTATGATCTTATATATTCTGTGTAATCTAAAGAAACATCAACAAATTATACATGTAGTTTTTATAATTTGTTTATTGTATTAATTTAGTTTATGTGGATCTAATTGTATCAATTTATTCATTGTTAACATTTATTAAAAAATTAAACAAAAACTAATTACAAATGGTCTATTCAAATAGGAATGAATCATTTTAAATTGGATGTCAACTTCTTAATAATTTTAAGAAGAATGAATGAAATATTTTATTTATTGATTTTAGTCTAATTTTTTAAGAGGCTTTATTAATTTGACTAAACTATAAAATATTCAAAGATAAAATTAATATAATTAAATTATAACAATCAAATTGACAGAATAGACAAGTTACTGGAATTATAAATATAACTTGCCCACAAAAAAAAAAAAAAAAAAAAGGAAAGAAAAACTCTTTTTATACGTAAAATAATTATATTATTAAAAACATACCAAGAATGATGTGAGAAAAATATGTTTGTATATCATTATAAAAAAAAAAAAAACCTGTTTGGAAAATATTTGTAGCAAAAGTGTAGTACATTTCTAGTGTCTCACAAAGGGTGATTTATGAGTTTTTAATAGGATTATTAATAGGATTATTAGTATGTTAGGTCTCGTTTGATTGTTTGGAATATAAGAGTTTGCGTAGAATATGTAATACGTAAGGATAAAGATGAGATATAATATGTTGTAGGATACAAGATGAATTATATATATTGTAAGATCAATTATATTATATTTGGTTAAGATATGATAAAAAGTAAAGATGATTATTTTTAATTTTTAGAAGAAAGATTCTCTATATCTATATACAATACTATAGGGATTAATATTGTATATTCCCCTTTACATCATATACTATCCATACTCTCTGTATCCGAAACAACCGCACACAAGATATGGAGGGAAAAAAATATATGACATCTAGCTCATAGTACATTCCGTCCAACTCGCGTATCCGTATTCTCTTTGTCTCCCATGGCTCTCTATAAAAAGCAACCAACCAAGCATTCCATAAAACAACTGTCCGAGCTCACTACCATGCCTACTCCTCTCTTAATTGGAGTTGGTAAAATGGAGAGAAGGCGGTCGGAGCAGCGTGGCGGCAATGGCGACGGCGAGGTTCAGCTGCCGGAGCTCCCGACAGAGCCATTGGAGTTCCTGGCAAGGTCATGGAGCGCCTCCGCCCTCCAAGTCTCCAAGGCTCTCGCTCCACCTACTCCCAAGCTTCCTACTACTACTACTGCTACTACTACTGCTACTAATGGTGGTTGTAGTAGTAATAGTGACTCGTCTTTCTCTTCTGTGGTCGAAGATGTCACCGGAGGCGGTGACGTTGAGACTGAGGACTCAGCAGCAGCAGCTATTCCTGGAAATGGGAACCCACTACTATCTTTCTCCTTTGCTTCTTCTGCAACTTCTCAGCTTGTCCTTGAACGCATTATGTCTCAATCCGTGAGTCATATCACTTCTTTCTCTATCTTTTAATCTTTTTCTCTTCCTACATTATAAAAATCTCTCTGTTGTTTTGACAGAACTTTTTTGTACAATTTTTTTTTTTAAAAAAAAGTTTTTCTATGTTTGATTGCATTCTTAAAATTAATGTACTAATAAATATATTAATGGTGGTATCAGTGACAGTAGCGGGGTGGGGGTGGAGGTGTTGGTGGAGAAGTAATAGGGGTTTGGTGATGGGGTGGAGGTGGTAGTGGTGGTTGCTGTGAAAATGGAGGTGGTGACAGCATTGGTGGTGATGGTAGTGGCATTGACAAATTTTTAATTTGATAAACATTTTTTTGGTTTTTAAAAATAAAACATTTGTCATTTAAATAGACTTTTTAGGACATTTTTTGCCGAAAATATTAACCTCAGAAAATATGAAAAATATTTTTTATCGGCATGTTTGATCATTTTTGTTTTTATATAATTTGATGTTAATTTAAGATAAAAACAAAAGATATTTTAATTTAGATTTTTATGGGACAGGAAATATCACCGTTAACATCGGGGAGGCTTTCACACAGTAGCGGACCATTGAACAGTTCCCATGCAGAAGAGACAGATAGCGCTCCTGTTTCCCCCTCTGACGATTTCGATGATGTCGTCAAGGTACCGACCCCTCTCCCTCTGTTCCTTTCTTCTTCTTCTTTACTCTTTTTTAACTTTTTATTATTATTTATATTTGAGTTCTTCATCTACAACATTTACTTGCTCACAAATTTAGACTAATCGTTTAACTTTTTTCTTGTTATTGTATTTGGTTTTAATTAGGAAAGTATTATAAATAGATTAATTTTTTTATTTATATAGTAGTCCAAATCGATGGTGTAACTAACAAAAATTTTACAATAAAATATGGTGATTCACAATAAAAAAACAATGAAAAATATTGGAGATTTTAAGAATTCACAATAATATGATAAGATACTTGTTAATTTTTAATTTTTAATTTATTACACATTAATAATGGGGCCCAATTATTATTATAAATAAATTTATAAATATAAATATGTGGACTCTACAATTACTCAAAATAATAAATTTAGCATGAATCACAACTTCTCACTTACCGTATAGAGACAATGGCAGCCACCTCACGGAGTTTTTGTATCATGCTGTGTGAACAGAAAAATGTTCCTCTGATGACACAGAAAACACAGAAAATTGCTTTTGTTTTGTTTTGTTTTCTTCAATAAAAACTTTTCCTACTAACTAGAGATTCCATTCAAGGACTTTAATCAACCACTTCTTTTGACTGGTAAAACCAGACCAGAGCACCTCCTATTCTCTTTCTTCTTTTTTTTTTTTCTCTATCTCAATTTCGTTCCAGAAATGAAATGATTTTTCATGAAACGAGCAATATATAAATTTATTTATGCATTTTTAATGTGTGCATTTTTGTTTGGCATGATAGATATAAATATATTTATTTAAATTATATTACCTTTTATCTTTTTATATACTTTTCATAAAAAGTCAAAAAAATATATTTATTTAAATCATTTCAAATCATAAAAGCCACTCTATCAATTATGAAAAAAAAAACAAAAAAACCGTGTTTCGTTCACACACTGCAACTGTGTGAAGAAATTCGAAGTAGGATTGAGTAGGTAAGTAGGGTTGCCAGGCCAATATGTTTTTGAAAAATATTTGGTAATTCAAAATTTTGTAACTCAAATGGTTCAAATCTATCAAAACGGTGTCGTTTTACACTCATTTATCCTGAAAATGACGTCGTTTTGAGTGATTTAAGTCATTTGAACCACAAAATTTTGAACTACCTAACATTGTTGTTTGGTTTTACCTTGGGGTAGCTGTCTCCAGTAATCTTTCTCTGTAGATTTGCTTGTTTAGTTATTTTCAACGATCAAAAAAGATTAAGGATTATAATAAAATAATTTTAATGAGTTTTAATAAAGATAAATTTTATTATGATGGGATGTGTTGATTTTTTTTCTTCATATTTTTAACATATAAATTCAATTAAAATTTTAAAATTAAAGAATGTATGATTGCTTTTTTAGCAACTGCCCCTGATTTGTCACCGTTGCGTTAACCACCCCTCTCTCTCTCTCTCTCTCTCATGTTCACTTCATAGGGGTGAGTATGGACCGGATTGAATTGGATTAGGATAAAATTAGGACTAATTCGTTATTTACAGTTCTTGAAAAATTGAAACTAATCCAATTCGTTTAAATCATGGAACCAATCTGAACCAATCCATTTAAATACGGATTGGATCGGTTTAGGACCACGGATTTACATAATTAAATAACAAAAAAAATATATATATAACACTTTAATTTCATAAAAATATAAACATAGCGCTATATTAGTTCCACAATAGCAATATGTTTTTCTATAATAGTGATATACTGTTCTAGAATTTAAACAACTATAAGAAAACTGGTTTCACCATAAGTATTTAGATCATTACAAATTAAAACTAAAAGCTAATAAACAAAAGTAATAAAAGAAGATATTATACGGTTTTAAGTTTGTGTTTAGATTTTATATAGAATAAGAGAAGATATTATGGGGAAGAATATATAATAAAAATATAAACTATTTGTATACGGTCCGGATCGGTTCCAATTCGGAACCGTGGGGTTCAATCCAGAACCAATCCGTGGATTACGAATTTTTAATTCTTCAATCCAGAACAGAACCGCGGATTCAAAAAATCGATCCAAACCTATCGAATTGAACTAGGCTGGATCGAATTACGAATTTCACAGATTCCTTGTTCAGCCCTACCACTTCAGAATCTATTTCGAAAAAGTGAAGAATCTCTCATCTATTTTTACCCTCCTCTCTATTGTTATTGACCTTGGAAAAAGTGAAGAAACTAGAAAAAAAAAATTCAAAAATTTATCTGAAAAAATGATGTCACAAATTTAGAAAAGAAATAATATTTATACAAAAATAAAATCCAAAAAATATACAAAAAAAAAAATATAATGTGTGATTAAGATTCATCTTAAGTGTTATATGAATAATTTTTAAAATAAATTTAAATCACAAAATGCACTCTCTATGCATTTTTTTATTGAATGTTTGAGATTCAGCTAAAAAAGTTACATTTTATTTTTTTTTTTTAAATTATGTTAATTTTTTTTTTTTTACTTTTTCATGTCCATTTTGTGTATATAAATCTAAAAAGTATAAAAAAATTTAAAAAATAATTAAAAAAGTCACTAGACAAAAAAAGACAAAAAATTCAATAATTTTTAGATTTTTTGTCCTTTCTGTACTTTTTTTCAATTTTTAATTTTTTTTAGTTCTTCTAATTGAGTAAAAACAAAAAATTAAAAAAATTCACTAAAATTAAAAAAATCAACAAAAAAAGTTTACTCCCAAACACCTAATTATGTGCTTGTAGCACTATTATTAATTTAATTTTAGTATGATATTTTTTGACAATTTTTTCATTATTGACCCCAATGTAGCACGGTAACCCCGTAATAGGCTATGAAGTAACTGGTCCCTCTCTATCTTTTAGTAGGACGCAGTCTCGCAGATTGTTTACAGTTGAACTTTGTGACGAGAATGTCTAGCTAAGTTCCTAGATTCATAGCGGATTCCACTCTAATTAATTGATTTCTATTATGCATAAATTTATTTTTCAAAGTTTTTTCATCATATATTGTTAAAAAAAGAAAAAAAATAGTAATATAATTTTTAGAGTTGACTATTCATTTGAAAAAACCAACAAATACACTAAAGTAATCTAACTACAATTAATAGATTAATATGATTTTTTTAAAAATAATCTCCATAAAGAAATCTATTAAAAAGAATTGTATAAAATTATCGAAGTGGAAACTATATCTAGATTCGATTTGGATTCCAATAACGTTGTATTTGGTTGAGAGATTTGAAAAGAAAAAAGAAAAAGTTAAGTGAAATGTGAATAAAATATATTTACATTTTATCTAATTTCACACACTTTTTCTCTTTTCTTTTTTAAATCCTTCAGCCAAACATAGCATAAATGGTTCCTAAGCCCTGAAAGGGAATTACAACGGACATAGAACAATTTTCTTTCAAATCACCAAACTCAGTCTTCCCCTAGTGAATTAATACAAGTCTTTATATCAATTAAATGCAGTACTTACGTTCAAACAACAGTCTGCAACCTTTATTCACTGGTAAAAACAATGTTGGTGGCGGTGGCGGAGTAAGCACACCAAGTGGAAAAACAGTAGGAAGGTGGTTGAAGGAGAGAAGAGAGAAGAAGAAAGAAGAGGCCAGGACCCACAATGCCCAGCTCCATGCTGTTGTTTCTGTTGCGGGCGTGGCAGCTGCAGTTGCTGCCATTGCAGCTGCCACGGCGGCAGCATCAGCATCCGAGAAGGATGATCAGATGGCAAAGACTGACATGGCTGTTGCATAAGTCTTCACCCCTAAATGCCATTTGAGGTAACAATTCGTCAAAAATTATATAATTAGCCCGAAACTAATACTCAGGCAGTGCAAAATAAAAGGTCATTATTTGTAAAGAACGAAAAATAGGAACTGAATAAATTTAAGCAAAGAAAATTCACGAATAATGGATTGAAGAAGTCATTTTGCGAATGCAAGCACCACACAAAGGAAAGCATACATGCAACTCAACACATAGTACTTCTAAAGAAACGAAAGATAATTAACTAAATTAACACTACAATACACATAATACTAAAAATTTTCTAACTAAAATACATAGGGAAATTAACAGTAAAATGTCATGGCTAGGCAAAAAACCAAAAAACAACATTCGCATAATAGAAGTTCAATTATTTATGGTTTTAAGATGTCATAGCAGTAATCGAGCTGTGTTATGTGACCTTAATTAGATGCTCTACTCGAGCAAAGCATATGTTGTGAGATCCGATCCTGCTCCATCATGAAGATTATGGTGATTAGGCTGCAGACGCAAGGCCAAAATACCATGGCCTCCATTTGAGAATCCGAGAATAGAGTTGTAATCCACTCCATTATCGACTAGACCATACTGTGGATCCTCCTCTTTTGAGTTCTATAAAATGAAAAGGCCATTTTATAAACTTCTTGTCCTTTCCAATTCAACGGCATACGAAATATATATATAAATAAAGTAAATATAATGAAGCATGCTTACTACTTGATGTAGTAGATTTCTGTGTATTTCTTCCACATTTCTCTTCTGTAAACAGAGATCAGAGTTTAGATGAATTGAAAGGGAAAAGTTACCAACAAAGAAATGAACAAGTACACATTGCCAAATAACTAACCTTTTTTTTTTGAGTTTCAATCTGATTATTGAGCACTTTATACTGCAATTCATTACAAAAATTTACTTGTTAATAAAATTTGACCAAACACAAACTTTTATATGGAGGAATTTGGGGTGAGCATGGTCTGGATTGATCCAGATTGAGATAAAATCAGGATCAATCCGTTATTTACGGTTTCTGAAAAATTGAAACCAATCCAATCCGTTTAAATTATAGAACCAATGTGAACCAATCTATTTAAATACGGATTGGATCAGTTTAGGACCACGGATTCATATAATTAAATAACAAAAAAAATATATATATATAACACTTTAATTTCATAAAAATATAAATATAGCGCTATATTAGTTCCAAAATAGCAATATGTTTTTCTATAATAGCGACATACTGTTCTAGAATTTAAACAACTATAAGAAAATTGGTTTCACCATAAGTATTTAGATCATTACAAATTAAAACTAAAAACTAACAAACAAAAGTAATAAAAGAAGATATTATACGGTTTAGGTTTGAGTTTAGATTTTATATAGAATAAGAGAAGATACTATGGGAAAGAATGTATAATAAAAATATAAACTATTTGTATACGGTCCGGATCGGCTCCAATCCGGAACCGTGGGGCTCAATCCAGAACCAATCCGTGAATTACGGATTTTTAATTCTTCAATCCAGAACTGAACCGCGGATTCAAAAAACCAATCCAAACCAATCGAATTAGACTGGGTTGGATCGAATTACAGATTTCACAGATTCCTTGCTCAGCCTTATCACTTCAGCAATCTATTTTGAAAAAGTGAAGAATCTCTCATCTATTTTTACCCTACTCTCTATTGTTATTGACCTTGGAAAAAGTGAAGAAACTAGAAAAAAAAAAAATTCAAAAATTTATTTGAAAAAATGATGTCATAAATTTAGAAAAGAAATAATATTTATACAAAAATAAAATCCAAAAAATATACAAAAAAAAATATAATGTGTGATTAAGATTCATCTTAAGTGTTATATGAATAATTTTTAAAATAAATTTAAATCACAAAATGCACTCTCTATGCATTTTTTTATTGGATGTTTGAGATTTAGCTAAAAAAGTTACATTTTATTTTTTTTAAAAAATTATGTTAATTTTTTTTTTTACTTTTTCATGTCCATTTTGTGTATATAAATCTAAAAAGTATAAAAAAATTTAAAAAATAATTAAAAAAGTCACTAGACAAAAAAAGACAAAAAATTCAATAATTTTTAGATTTTTTGTCCTTTCTGTACTTTTTTTCAATTTTTAATTTTTTTTAGTTCTTCTAATTGAGTAAAAACAAAAAATTAAAAAAATTCACTAAAATTAAAAAAATCAACAAAAAAAGTTTACTCCCAAACACCTAATTATGTGCTTGTAGCACTATTATTAATTTAATTTTAGTATGATATTTTTTGACAATTTTTTCATTATTGACCCCAATGTAGCACGGTAACCCCGTAATAGGCTATGAAGTAACTGGTCCCTCTCTATCTTTTAGTAGGACGCAGTCTCGCAGATTGTTTACAGTTGAACTTTGTGACGAGAATGTCTAGCTAAGTTCCTAGATTCATAGCGGATTCCACTCTAATTAATTGATTTCTATTATGCATAAATTTATTTTTCAAAGTTTTTTCATCATATATTGTTAAAAAAAGAAAAAAAATAGTAATATAATTTTTAGAGTTGACTATTCATTTGAAAAAACCAACAAATACACTAAAGTAATCTAACTACAATTAATAGATTAATATGATTTTTTTAAAAATAATCTCCATAAAGAAATCTATTAAAAAGAATTGCATAAAATTATCGAAGTGGAAACTATATCTAGATTCGATTTGGATTCCAATAACATTGTATTTGGTTGAGAGATTTGAAAAGAAAAAAGAAAAAGTTAAGTAAAATGTGAATAAAATATATTTATATTTTATCTAATTTCACACACTTTTTCTCTTTTTTTTTTTAAATCCTTCAGTCAAACATAGCATAAATGGTTCCTAAGCCCTGAAGGGGAATTACAACGGACATAGAACAATTTTCTTTTCAAATCACCAAACTCAATCTTCCCCCAGTGAATTAATACAAGTCTTTATGTCAATTAAATGCAGTACTTACGTTCAAACAACAGTCTGCAACCTTTATTCACTGGTAAAAACAATGTTGGTGGCGGTGGCGGTGGCGGAGTAAGCACACCAAGTGGAAAAACAGTAGGAAGGTGGTTGAAGGAGAGAAGAGAGAAGAAGAAAGAAGAGGCCAGGACCCACAATGCCCAGCTCCATGCTGTTGTTTCTGTTGCGGGCGTGGCTGCTGCAGTTGCTGCCATTGCAGCTGCCACGGCGGCAGCATCAGCATCCGAGAAGGATGATCAGATGGCAAAGACTGACATGGCTGTTGCATCAGCTGCAACGTTGGTTGCTGCGCAGTGCGTGGAGGCTGCAGAGGCTATGGGAGCTGAGCGCGATCACCTCGTTTCGGCTATTAGCTCTGCTGTTAATGTTCGCTCTCATGGTGATATCACAACTCTCACCGCTGCTGCAGCCACTGGTATGAAATTTCTGCCCACACCATTAATAAATTAGTTAAGATTGTTGAAGATTTCAAATTTTCTTCTTGTTGGATTAATGACATAATAAATTAGTGCCAAATTAAACATATTCAAAAAAATTAAAATATCCAAGTTTTAAAATATGTTGATCAAATTTTATTGTGTTTTGACTCACATCACATCAACTATCAATTTATGCTGTACATTCTAATTTTGAACAGTATTTACTTTTTCTATTATTTTGGGTACATTGCATTTTGAAGTTAAAACTTGATATTGCCCACTTTATGTATGGAGATGTTTTGGATTGGGTGCAGCACTACGAGGGGCAGCTACACTGAAGGCAAGAGCACTGAAAGAAGTGTGGAATATTGCAGCGGTGATACCGGTGGAGAAAGGGGTGGGAATGAGGATGAGTGGTAGTGTTAGTAGTAGTGATCAAACTAGTCATACTAATGGTAGTAACCATAATGAAGGGCTTGCCCTTGAAGAGAATTTCCTTGGTGCTTTTAATCAAGAACTACTTGCTAGGGGCACTGAGCTTCTCAAACGCACCAGCAAAGGTGATCTTCACTGGAAGATTGTATCTGTCTATATTCATCGAACAGGCCAGGTGAGTGCTACGCGGTGTAGTGGTGTTATACTAATGAAAAGATCACGATCTCCTAATTTTTGGGTGGTGTAATGTGCAGGTGATGCTGAAGATGAAGAGCAGGCATGTTGCAGGAACAATCACCAAAAAGAAGAAAAGTAATTTTGTAATCAAGTACTCATTGTTAATCCTCAACTTGTTATGATCTCAATTTTGAGTGTGTTTGGACATTGGATGAGTTGCAGGTGTGGTGTTGGAGGTGTGCAGAGATGTAGCGTCGTGGCCAGGGAGGCACTTGTTCGAGGATGGAGAGCAGCGTCGATACTTTGGGTTGAAGACAGCAACGCGCGGAGTTGTAGAATTTGAATGCAAGAACCAGAAAGAATACGACGTCTGGACGCAGGGCGTTTCTAGGTTACTCTCCATCACAGCAGAGCGGAAGAACAAATGTCATAATAAATAAATTGAAACAAAATTGGTCCACTGGAAAAACACCTAGTAGTAGTAGAGTAGGGATGGTTTGAGTGAGTTAAATTTTGGATCTTCTCTTTCTCCCAACCCAATTTGGAAAATAAAATGTAGAGACTAAGAGCTGGGAAATTGTTATTTGTGTTTGTGTGGGTACTTTCCATAATTGAGCAGGTAGGCATGTAGGAGAAACAATAAAGAATATCCGTTACTAGATCTTTATTATCTAGACATAATTCATTTTTTTTTCACTTCTCTTGCACAGCTTACTAGTGAACCCGACATTATCAAATGGTGTGGGGGTTCACTCTAATTATGAGTAAGCAGGGTAAAAAATTATAAAAAATGCAGTGTCTTGTCATCTTATTTGAATTTACAAATTCACATCCAACAATAATAAATACATTGGCAAACGAGTATGGGACGAAACTACATAGGGTCCAGGGGCACATGCCTCTCATATTTTGAAAATTACACTTTTACTTTTTATTAATTTTTTATTATTTAATTCCTTTTTAATTTTTAAATATATTTCAAAATGTTTATATCTCGTTTTTCTTTTTACTAAATTCCTTATAATTTATCATTATAAATGTTTAATTTCATCAAAATATTCTCTTATAATTATTTATATCCCTCTTATTTTTTTCCACATCTATCTTTTTTTTTCTTTTCCTTTTTCTTTTTGTATGAATGTTATTACATTTTAAATTGTGATTCGTGTTTAGTAACTAAAATAGCAAATAAAAAAAGCATCGGTTAATTAAAACATATTTAAGGCACAAAATTTTGACATTACGTTGATCTTCAGTCATTCTATCGCTAAATGAAAATTAGATTTAATTAAGTTTTGTAATTGATATCATTAACGATTAATGGTGTCCCATAAATCAAAATCCTGACTTTGCCACTGAAAAGAGTGATTTGGCAATCTTGGCAAAGACCATTAATAAAAGAACATACTCACCAAACAAGAATGACAAAACATTAACACTGGGTGTTTATATTTGTTTTATATTATCTTCTGCGATGATGGTACGATCTTTGAGTACTAATTCTTTGCCTTTCAACTAGCAAAAGAAAAATGCTAGAATGATTGAAATAGGTCATGCAAAAGCCAAAGAAAAGCCAAATGAAAAAAAGATGCTAGGCTTGAACGAGGTTGTTGCTACATGGTGAATTTTTTTGGGGAAAATATCAAATCAGTGATAATTTGAAAAATAATTACAAATAGTGACAAACTTTACAAAAATTAATAATTAAAATCATTAATTTTTTCATAAATTTGCAATTGCTTTTTGAAAAGCCATTGAATTCTAATTTCTCCAATTTTTTTATGGCAAAAAATTGGACAAATTAAACCTATGGTCAAGATATTTAATTTGTTTCTTGTATTGGCAAAATCATCATTTTAAAATGAAATAGACAATTTCAAATTGAAAATCAATCTCTCAATCTTTTTATATTTTTTAAAAGAGTGAATAGACTATTTTAATTACATACTACTCTCATACATGATCAATGTAGATCACAAAAAAAAAAATGAGATAATTTTTTTTGAGAAAGCCCAATATTTATAAGAAGTTGAAAACATATGAGCTGTCATTCCAAATTGTCAGAATACTTTGAGAATTTAGGAAATGACATGGGATTTGTTTTTTTTTTTTGTGGCTTTTTTGCTGGCTTAGTAAATTTTTTTTCTTTAGTAAAAAATTTTCAAAATGTTTCAATAAGCTTTAGGTGTTTAGATTCTACATTTTACTTGACGAGATGAATTGAATTTTTTTTAAAATTTTCAAATTAGACTAAAACAAGTAAATTATAGTGATTTTTTTGGGTTTATTTTGACTTTTTCATTTTCAATTTTATTTTTTAGATTCGTCTACGACAAATCGGAAAAATAAAAAAAAATTTACATAATTTTGAAAAAAATTACTGAAGGCAAAAAAAGAAAAGAAAAAGAAGAGGTTGCTTATTTGGGAGATCCCAAACTGTTTGGGATATGCATTTTTTTATTAAAATAGTTAATAAAGACAAAATAAATTAAATTAGTTAACAAGATAAAATATCACATTCAGACTATAATTATTTTATTTTTTTCTCACAAATATTAAATCAATTAAAAAAAAGTCAACAATCATTCCAAACACAACTTTTTTAATCAGATTAAAATAACAAAATAGCAAAAACAAAAAACTAATTAAAATAGTCAATTTTTCAAACGAAGCCAATATAAAAGAATACAAGAACTCTTAGAATAAATTATTTGGAGAAAATATAAAAAAAATACATGGTGCTGTTTGGAAGGAGATTTTTTCGTTTTTTTTTCACTAAAAGACAAATTGGTTACAAAATAAAAAAAAAACAAATCCAAACAAAATATCACATCAAACCCCATAATCATTTTATTTTTTCTCTCATAAACATCACACCCAACTATAAAAAAACCTAACTATCTTCCCAAATATAAATTTTTTTTCTCTAATAATATCCTATAATTAAAAATACCTATAAAAAAAATACACTTTCCAAACACTTACGAAACTTTGTTGGAAGGAAAATTCCGTACAACCTTGTTAATCAAAAATTAGTACCAGTTCAAATTACTATAAGTACAAATAAAATATTAAAACATCAATATTAAAAAAGTTTAAAAGAAAAATATAAAATTTTCTAAAAAATATTATGAAAAAGAGACCCCCCCCCCCCTCACTATTTTTTAATTGGTTCAATTTTTTTTTTTCTCTCTCTTGCTCTCACAGTCCCCCACGTGGAGGTAGGGGGTGCTGGGGTCACCCCCACTGGGGGTTCCAAGCAGTGCCGAAAATATTATCTAAAAATCATAACCAAACAAATTGATTACTTTTAAGATAAATTACAAATACATCTCTTGAGGTTTGATTAAAATACAAATTGTCCTTTTTGATTTTGAAAATTACATTCCACCATCTGAGATTTTTAATTTCATAATAAATCGTCAATTTTATTAATAAATCATCAAGTCAACTAACAATTTTTAATGATGTTAAAAATATGTTTCAATTAATAATTTGGATAATTTTATTATTGTATAGGAAAATAATTATAAATTTCATTTTTTTTTGTTAATTCTATTAAATAAAAAAATTCTAATAAAAAAATATTTATAATTTTATAAACCACAAAAGATAATTTATATTTTAAATAAATTT